TAATAATTGTAATTATATATAATAAAAATAAGTATATAACTAAACTTACATAACAAGTGTCAAGTATGTCTAACAATATATTTTATATTATCCATAGATAATAATTTGTAAAAAAAAAATTGACAAAGTCTGTACAGTTATTCACGAAAACTTACTTAATTCTATTTTTTTTTTTATATATATATATAAAACTATATTAACATAATATAGTTCATCGATGTATTACTTTCGTTGACTTATTGATCAACTATAATTTTAGATAATTATCACAGAAATATGCAGAATGAATAAAAAAAAATATGTTTTTATAATACTTATTAAAGCGTAATAAAACGATTAGGAAGACAAATTAATGAACAAATAATTAACCGTATAATGTCTACTATGAAGGAATTATTCTTTCTCGGATTGTGAATTTTGTACATTATTACTTATTGTATCGATATATTTTTTCTGTGTGTTATTTGATGAGCTGAAATAAAATATTAATTTTGATAAAAATAGTAAAATCTCAAAAACAAATACTATAAGTAAATTTATTTTTCAATTTTTTGTTATTTAAGTTACCTAATACAATCCTCTACTTCCTCTAATGTATCAGAAAGATAACTGCCAGTTTCTGGTAACATAAGTACAGACAAGCCACCAATGACACTGACTGTTCCCAGTACTAATAGCGGTAAGACTTTGCTCAATGGAGACTGTAACAGATGGTTATAGCCAAATAATTAGCATAAAATTTAAATTTCAAGAGCAAATATATTCACTGGACTCACTAAATTCCAAAGGTATGGTACCATAATAAGTGCGATTCCTGCAGGTATGTTTGAAGTTCCCACGCCTAAATTCCTTATAACGGTTGGGAACAATTCGGCCGTATAGAGAGGCATAATAACGTTTGACGACGACACGGAAAATTTGCCAGCCATCACCAACGATAGCGATATCCACTCATCCGTATCTAATTATATAATTGAATGTATTTAAAAATGCGTATCGAATATTTAAAAAATAAAATATATAAATACCTGCTGGTAGAATCGTAGTTAGCAAACACGCAATTCCTCCTGCTACCATGGTAAGGCACAATGGAATTCTTCGGCCCATTTTGAGCAATATTACCACACTAATCAATATTGCTGGTATTTCAACCAAACCTAAATTCAAATCCAACTTGATTATTTTTTGTTGCATATTTACATACATTTAAATAATTGTACAACTTATCAACACAGTTGATTTGTAATTAATTATATATATATATATATATATATATATTTAGAGAGAGAGAGAAAGAGAGAATTCGCTGACATATTTATTATTATTTTACATTCAAAAGGAAAAATAAATGTATGATTTTACTATAGAAATTACCTGATATTATAGTGTTTATGTAAATATTTCCACCGATATTAGACAGATTAAGTACAAGCCCATAGTATACCAAGTAAAGGCTGAACCAAAGTATGTATAAGACAAGGGAAATTTTTCTGATATTTTTGGTACGAAATAAATCTGAAACTCGTACTTTAGGTTTGCCATTAATTTCGAATTTGTTAATACTCTGAAAAAAAAATATACGGTACATTTAAAAATTATATATTCAACAAGTATCTAAAAAAAGCTAAAATAAAATAAAATAATAATACTAAACTAAAAATGATTATTTATTTAATATGACTCATGAAATATATAACATAAAAAATGTTCCACCGAGACAGAGACAAGTAATAACATTGACATTAAGTACAGTGTGCATATTATACATTTGAACTAAATTCAATATCATTAACATTAAACCAATAAAATATGAAATTTATAAATTTATCGTAAAAAAATTAAACTGGTGTAATAATGTAATTTTAATTTTTAACCCACTTGCTTAAGAATTTTGTCCATGTTCACTGGCAAGGGGTGCTTATTGATTTTAGATGCCTTTTCCAAAACTTCCATAGTCTCTTCCACTCTGCCCATGGCCAATAACCATCTCGGTGATTCGGGAACAAACCTGATAATCCGTATGAATAGAAAAATATTTCTGCCATATCTCTATATTTTAATGACTTACCAATGCAGAACCAAGAAAAATACAGCAGGTAACGTGACACACCACTGCAATAACCTCCACCCTCTGCATATATATGCGATTCCGGATATTATAATGTAGCTCATCGGAACTGGGAGCAAGTAAAGGACTCCAGCGATTGTCAACCACTTACCACCGACCAGTTCCATACCTTTATTCAACAAAATCCATTATCAAATCAACACCGTTGAACAATAATTTATTATATAAGGAACACTTACACAGCACAAAACCACTAAAGACGATGCTCACGCAGACAAATCCCAAAATAAATCTCAATACCAGATAGAATTCAAACCAAGGACAAATGGCAACTAAAATACCAAGAGCCAACTGCATAATTAAGGAAGCCATCAACGTCTTCTTTCTACCAAATCTACAGGCAAAAAAAAAATATTATATTTTGCAAGTATATAATATTCGTTAAGTATCTAAAAAATAAAGCAAAATGTTTTAATTAAATGTGGGTAGGTATTTTAAACCAATTTAATAACGAATCGCAATGTTCTTTCAATAAATGATCCCTCTAAATCTCCAAAGGAAAAAAAGAAAACAACATGTTTATAATGAATTTACCGAAAATCTAATTTATATTTTCTACAATTACAAGTATTAACAATAATACCTACGTATTCGGGTATACGTGATGTTTAAACGAATTTTACGAACTTCGGAACAGATAATAAAGATATTAAATTATATAATGGTTGAAAATAAAAGGAAATGAAAAAAAAATAAAGGAAATGATATAACATTTTGAACTTTCCATTATTATGTTGGTCGTTTCTATTTTTTCTTACGTTATTTATGTGGGTAGGTACGCTTGTAAACTATTAATATCTACAACAGTACATTATATTTTACTGTTTAATAAATAATAATATTACTACAGTGTAAACTAACATCACTTTAAACGAATAAATTAAACAGAATATTATGACACTGCTCATTTTGCATGTTCAAGCTTTATATACGAGTAAACAGTATAGTATGGCATGTACATATTTTAACAAATTTTATTACCTGTGTTTAATAATAAGATTTTAATGTTCATCTAAATAATTTTCATAATCTGTTTAAAAGTTTATACCCTTTTTGCAAAAAGATTATCATATTATGAATAGTTGTTCGCTTGTAAATGTTTTAAACTTGTCAAAATTTGACTTACCTGTCAGACACGAGTCCTGAGAAGAAACCTCCAAAAGCAACACCCATCAAGAACATCATCTCGGCAAAGTTTTTTAATTCTTTTCGGTCACATACTAAGTTCCACTGTAAATGCGAGTATCATAATAAATTAAAAATGCTCATTTACTTTTAATGCTATAAGAATTACTTCAGAAGAGATTGTATCGCCAAATTCAGTAGTATTGAACTGCCACGAAGTACACGTTTTAAGCTCATGATGATCTGTGTTGCTTTTAATTAATACTTCTAAGTAACTAGAATTACTAAGTAAACTTTCGTAGTTTAAGTCGCGGTAACGACAAGGATCGTATACTGAAACCTATGTACAAAATACAAATATACTTAGAAATCTGTACACTAATAAAAAAACAATGTAATTTAATAAAACCATGTTATTGGGGTTCAATTTCACATATACTATTTTAAATATAGCTTTTATAATTATAAAGTAGTAATATTAAAAAGGTTGAAAAATAAAATCCGTTATAAGCCTCATTAATTATATTAATAATAATTATTAAACAACTAAAAACAATTTTGACAGATAAAATAACAATGCATTCGTGGATGTCCCACGAGTTGAACCAAAAKTTGACACCTTGTATAGAATTATATAATATTATAATAACTTTGAATTATTTTTATAGTTTTATTTAGACGACCATCGTAGTCAAGGATCTTAAAACTACAAACATCGGTGTTTTAACTTTCTCGCTAAAATAAAATAGTGCTATCTAAAATTCAATACTAAACTAAGTTTTTTTCCAAAACTTAATATTATTTTATTTAATCAAAACATTTTTTATAAATTTACAGAGATAGATACCGGTGTTTCGTTTTATATGTATTTTTTTTTTTTTCTATTAATATCATTTATCCATAGTTTTATGTTATTAGTGGTTAAACAAATAACAATAATATGTTGAGTTTATATATATAATATATATATATATAATATATTCGCATATATAAACGTTTTTGATTCTACAATTTTCTTTGTAACTTACATTGCTTGTAGGTGATACGGGGATTAAACCACTTAAATTTTTCCATTGATCCACAGATATCCGGTTCAGTACACCCGGCGGCGGTGTACACCAGAAGTCGGTATCCGCCCCCTGGAACGTGAGTACGAATATGTGCCATGTACAAGGCAAATTTAACAAGGACAAAATTAAAGTAAGCATGGCTTGCCATCGGCCGAATTCGCCGATGGCCATAGAAACTGGATCTTCATGTGTCTTTTCTGTTCGTTTGTCATCTTTGAAAACTCCAACATTACCTGCAAAAATAACGAAACAATGTAAAATTATAAATTTAAAAATTCTATTTTAAAAGCGATTGTATGAATTTATTTTGTATTTAATTTTCTTGAATTATATTTGAAAGTGTTCAATAAATTTATACATATATTTTTATATTAGCTTAAAATAAATATTAAAATTTCAAACATATAATTGGATATTAAAATTTTTTTTAATACAAGAAAATAGACATGAGTACTGAAAATAATGAATACATTGTTTCATTAATTGTATAATTGGACTAAAGTATAAAACGAATAGCATAATGTACGAATAATATTGATGTGAAACATCAAAGTTGACAGTTGAATAATTCGTGACTTGAAACTAGTGCTGCATATTCAATAGATTTTGAACGCCATAATTCATTCATCTGATAAGCTGTAGACGTTTTGTTGGGGGAAAAAATGCAATAAATAACAATAATATTATAGTGTAGTTTGCCAGATCGAATAACAAACGATCCGGATTATAATATTATAATATCATATTATTATGTAGGTAACGACATATTGTATGTTTTTACATTACTTCGATCGCATTTCAAACCGCATTTATTAATTAACAGCCGGAAACAATATCATTTATTAATGATCCTTGGACGGAGTGGAATCGCCGCCGAGTGTGTGTGTGTGTGTTT